CCTATATAGGGTTGCTGCTGTACAGCGGTGAGGTTTTGAGGGACACCTCCATATCAAATACCTCATATCAACTACCTTACAACGGGGTTTCAGGGACCACCTCCGTGACAAGGTCCCTGCGCACACACAAGGGTTTAAGGGACACCTGCGTAATAACAAGTCACCTTTATGCACACATGGATTCTAGGGACACCTGCATAACAAGTCACCTGTATGCACATAGGGTTTCAGGGGCCACCTGCATGACAAGGCCTCTGAATTCAATTCACTTTTATAAACACATCATAATCTGTGATGAATCATGGTTAAAATCTGTCAATACTCAAGCTAAGCGGGTAAAATGTCTCTCTCAGCGTAGCTGTTACCGCCATGATGTTTTTGTTATTTTTATAACAAATATCTGGGCTTTGATGTGTCGACCCAATCAATATCTGACAATTCCCATATACCCACTGCATCTTCATATAAAATGCAACCATACTGAGAGGAGGTGCTGCAATACATAAGGGCAGGTCTGCCAATCTATGGACACATAAGGAGCTACAACAATTTGTGCATAGTGCTTGCCCTACTGACATAACCAACAAGTATTTACTCAAGAGCTATATTCCTGAGAAAATGCTTCAGAAAGCTGAAGACCATGATCTTATGCTTGTTGCAGATATGCCCATTACAACATTAGTAACTAGATTATAAAAGCAGCATCTCTGGCACATGGCTCAGTCTCATCATCTATTGAATATATCCCGGCATAAAAGTAAGGACATTATTGTGAATGATCTTTTGCAGCATCAATGCGACCAATGTGATGAATATGTCTGCATATTTGATTTCAAAGTTAAACACAGGGTGAATGCTACAAAATGCCAGAAGTACAGCAATAAGCAGAAAGCAGAAGCCAAGATATCTGATACATTTCCGCCACCTCCATTGTCTTCAGACTTGGGTGGAAAGGGCCATGGCTGGCAGGTCCGATTGATGAGAATGAATTTTTTAATGACATTGAATCAAACTGCCATTTGTTATTTGCTCTTTGGTATCTGTGCCATCTAAATAGGAGTAATATATACTCCTATGTAGTACAGAAATACTGCATGTCTTAGTGTCAAAAGCACTGCAACAACACATCACAATTTTCTGAGTGAGTCACCCTATTGGTGTACGCAATTTTAGTGTATGTCATGTGGATATTAAAATATGCTAGTATACCTGTTATAAACTGTTTACAGCCACTGCAGAAGTACATTAGCAGATGTGAGACGATAGTGTCCTTCACACAGTGCAGATGATTCATAAGCACTGATGTATATTGTGTGTTATAACTGCACCACTTTCATCCAATCACAATATGCAGGACAATGTGAATCAATATTTTCTCACACATACAAACTATATCTGATCAATATTTCAGATGTTTTTGTTTTCAAGCATCCAGTATTCTTTTCCACTTTGTTTGTCACACTCAGCTATTGATCCAGACTTATGTTATCTGACCTCTGTGCCCAGCTAGGAAAGCCCCATGGTAATCAACATTGCTGTGCCCAAGCCTTGAATAAAGTGAAAATATTGGCTTACTATATCCTAGATGTAGTCTTATCCATGTTACATGACAGTCACTCCTTTCCTATATTGAGCAGGGCTGATTCTCTAGCATTAAAGCCTTCCTCTCAAGCTTAGGCAATTTACAGGTGAGTGTTTACTCATTACAGCCTATTGCTGATTTTTTGAGTTTGCCCAGGAAGACATTGATATTTGCAAGTACTGTCATGGCATAAAATGGATCAGATAGACAATGAACAAGCCCTTCAATTAATAGCCTGATCATACACTTTACATTGATGATATTTCAGATGCTTACACTATGCACTATTTTCAAAAGGCAACAGGGCAATGTTCAGCAGAGTGATAATCTTATTAGGCTTCCATGATTATCTGTACACTCTATCTTGTATAACCATATCACCTGATCAGATTGCTAAATATAGTGCAACAGCCACATCTTAGCTGTAATACTGCATTTATGATAGTCTGAGCTCCTTCTAGGGTTATTTAATAATCATATAGACAACACCATTGAGTAGAGATCAATATTCTGAGCCTGGTGGTATATAACACTTGGGGGTGAGGCAGTGATGTCATCAGGTCATGTGCCATGGGCGCTTTTTTCCGATAGTGGCACTAATAGGATTTTGTATAGTGTATAGTGGCTGCTGCACTAGCCACATCCTGATTGTTTCTAGATAAATGGACTCTGATCATTCATAGCTTTCTGTTGATATATATTTCATAACATATGGTCCAGTGGGGGCAAAGATATCGAGGCATTTGTGTTGGGAACCAAACAAGACCATACTTGGTGGCAGGGGAGCCGTGCTCTGTGTTCCCCTGCCACAGAATGTGGTCTTGTTTGTTCTCAGCTACAGCTGCAACTCATTTTGCGCACTGTTGGCTCGTTCCTGACCACAACATAGGACATTTATACATCATTGGAAAGGTCTTTCCAATGTGTATCCAATGGTGGTACAATCATGGTTTTATATTGAGTATACAGGTTTTAATGCACCAAACACTAATTGTGGCTGAGGGTCATTACCAAATTGTATGCACAACTGATAGCTTTCATGCTGGCTATTATATGTGGTAAGTCTCCTCATTACATCCAAACACACTTTCATTATATAGGCCAGAAGATATGTTAGAGAAACTGCATTATCTGGTACTGAACATCTTTTTGCTCCAATTTATGCCTTCAATTGGCATCCTTTTGACCTACCAACAGCACCATTGTGTAGACCTCAATTTTCTGAACCTGACAGTATATAATACTTCATACTATGCTCAGAAAGACACTGACCTAGACTCACATTGATCCCCATTAGTGACAGATTGTGACCCAGTGTCACTTATGGTAGGTTGTCTGGCTTGCAGCACTCACAGATGTGCTCAGAACATTATACAAACACCCCCATTGCATTCTCCTCATCAACAGCTTTCTGGTGATATATAATAGTGGTATGTTCCACCATATAATGGCCTGTCAATGAGCATATTAGATTGAGCTGTGGCTGAAAACAAACAAAGCCAAAGCTAGTGGCACGACGACGCTAATCCGCGTCGGCGTGCCATTTGCTTTGGCTTTGTTTGGCTCCAAACAGAGAAGGGCCAATATCTCTGCTTCTACCTGTCCAAATGGGACATATAATATATCACCAGGAAGCTGTTGACAAGGTGAATCCATCTGTGCAATCAGATCAGGGATCTGGATACATGAGAATAAGATCTCAACCAGATGAATTCCTATTAGTGCCACAATTGACCATAAGCACTAGTGCCACAGTGCATTCACCAAATGGTCAAGTGTCATTTACCACTGGACTCAGGATATTGATCTCTATTCAATGGTGATGGTATAGATCTAGTGTACCTACACAATAGATGCTATACCTCAATATAATACCAGCAAGAGGTGAGCACAGATAGTAGGATTCATATCTCTGTCAGTTTGGCTGGTATATATATATGATTGTTTCCATTGTAGACCCAGTACATTGAAAGGAACATAATGTACTAATAATCAATACCTGAACATGATATTGGGCTTCAAATGTAGCATTTGCCTACAAAGTGGTGCAAAATGTACCAAATCGTGTTTTATGCCATACTGTGCTTACCAATAAATGGTGATATATATATCATTGGAAAGTGCTTGCTGAGCTCTACACAATGGTGCTGGTTTTGGAGGGTTATATGTTGTCAATGGTCCATAAATTGATAATGAATGTGATTTAAAGAAGGCTTCACAGGGCTTGATCCTGTGGGCAAATAAGCACCCTAAAGGCAATTTGGTGAAGTCCAATGGGCACTAGTAGTTCGCGCTGGGCCAGCGCGATCTACTAGCGCCTGTAGTACTTAGAAACATTTTTTGAAAAGCAGCCGCTTTTTGGCAGTATTTCCCCCATTGTTTCACCGGGTTTTATCCATATAGCACATATTATATATCATCAGAAACCTCTTCACAAGCTCTACAACGTGGTGCCATTGTATTTGTTATTTGCTTTGAATTGGGACATAGGAACAGGCAATACTTCAATTTTAGTCTTTCAATCCAAACATGGGGTAGATAAACTGAAGTTTCAATCACTCTAGTAACTACCAATGATGAAAGATGTACAATAACAGCTATGATGGCACTATAACATGTCCTATGTGTACACATAATTGCCCATCTAATATTTGATCAGTGTAACCTCTTGGCGGGAATCGTCCTTCACCACTACTAGCATATTGCTAGTAATGTACAGTCTCTCTTAGTGGCATATGGCATACAAATACTACTACCAGATCATGGCTCTGCAAGGAAACTAAGGGTATAGTGCTTGAACTACACTATATCATGTGTTAAGGGACATAGCCTGTAGGCATAGTGGGCAGTGAGCGCCACATGTGCTGTGCAACCTAGGGTTACACAAGCGCCCAGGGAGAGGCTTTACATGTGGTAAGAATTGTGATTAGAACTGAGCTAAGGCTAACCCTAAGCTGTGCTATTGGAATCCAACCCTAACCCTGTGAACATTACAAAATTTTGTATGTGGCGCCTATCAGAAAGCTAATGATGGGTAAGTAAATTTTTCCCACGGGGTCGGATTGGCGTCACGCAAGTTGGCAGGAAGCTCACCGCATAAGAAACGATTTCTTCGTTCCTCATCAATCGTAATTTAATAGGGGATATTGTCCAAGGCTTTGCCACAGATATTTCCAACTTCCATGAGTCCGCTTGTGCAGTATGCGCCCAGCTTGTACCACAGAAGCTTTTGCTGTCCATTACCAGGGAAGAATATGATCAGAATCTGCTGATGTCAGACAACATGGTCACTGTGAAGGAGCGAAAATCTGCAAGTGATCCTGTCTGTGATATCCCTGGTCCTGTTCTTCTTCCTGGCTGTGATAATATTTGCCAATCATGCTTATCAGAACTCAAAGAAGGTCATACTCCTGCAAACAGTCTGGCAAATGGTTTGTGGATTGGAGAGGTCCCACCCCAGCTACAAGACCTGAGTTTCACTGAGAAAATGCTGATAGCACGTGTAAAGCATAACCACTGCATTGTTAAGGTCCACATGTCAGGCATGTCCAAGCTACGCGCTAATGTGGTTAGCCATTCACTGCCCATGCCCAAGATATGTTCTGTGCTGCCACCTAGATGCGAAGAATTGAGTGAAGTGTTGGCATTCTTGTACCTTGGACCTAACCAACCAACCTCTAAGGAGTATAAGCGCACACCCATGCTAGTTACGATTGATGAGGAACGAAGAAATCGTTTCTTATGGGGTGACCTTCCTGCCAATTCAAGTCGTGTACGTGGGAAAAAAATTTGAAACCCAGCTGATCAAAGGTTAGTTTTGAAATAGGCGCCACCTACATCCTTTCCTTACAAAACCTGGGTTAGGGTTCCCCTTGATTAGCACAGCTTAGGGTTAGCCTTAGGTCAGTTCTAATGACAATCCTTACCACAGGTAAAGCCTCTCCCTGGGTGCCTGTGTAACCCTAAGTTGCACAGCACATGTGCCGCTCACTGCCCACTATGCATATAGGCTATGCACTGTATCAAAAGAGATCTTTAACAAATGTTATAGTGTAGTTCAAGTACTATACCCTTAGTTTCCTTTTAAAGCAATAATTTGGTAGTAGTATATGTATGCCACATGCCAGTAAAAGAGGCTAGTCAGCTATCACCTAACATAGAGCATTATATCTATTCATGTATGTTATCTACCATTGCCAGTCACTGAGTGATTGATGCATCAATAGGGTGCCAATTAAAGGCATAAATTGGAGTAAAAAGATGTTCAGGTCCAGATAATGTAGTTTCTTCAATGCCCTGCTAGTACT